TAGCCATATAGTCTTGGCCTTGGCAAGGCTAAGGTATTTGTGTTCCGCATTCCCGACGGCACGAATCCTCAATCCATCACCTGAAGTTGAGCTCTCATCTCCAGAGGAGCTGTCAGCCACCGCGATTTGCGGGGCGATTACCAGGCACGTGCATGGTGCGCCGCAACCAAAACCTGTCGAAGCCCCGAGAATCAACCCTCGGATCACATGTAGATGGCCACATTCAACGCGTCGAGCAATCGACGTCGCGAGCCCTAACGCGGAGCGCTGGGGCAAGGCAATTGGTCCATCCTTTGCTTCGCTGTGGGAAGAAGGGTCTTTGCGCGGGCGGATGCACGGCGACCAGCTACCGTCGTATCTCACGTGGACGCTGAACCACGCCTCGGACGCTCAATCAAAAAACGACCAGGAGCAGTAGGTGCGGGGCGCCCTACTGGCTTTAACGAAGGACCGGGCCCTCCGGTGGCAGCCCAACCTTCGAGACCTCCCGTGCTCCAAGCACAAACCAATGCCACCACTACGCCGGGCGACTCGAGACTGATCATTGTCAGCCTCCACGTCACCGGTGCCCGGCGACCACTGCGCGCGCTCCTTGACTCAGGAGCGACCAACAACTTCTTTCGCGCGTCGTGTTTGTCGGTACTACCCAAGAACGTTCGCGTCCGGAATGGTCCGGGCGAGATCCAAGTATAACTCGCAGATGGTAAGGCTCGCCGCGTTGCGCGGCGTGACGTGTCTTTGTCGTACACGTTCGACGGCTTCCGTAGCAAGGACGACTTCTTGGTGATCGAGATGAACTACGCGTTTGACTGCATCCTGGTCATCCCTTGGCTTGCGCGATATCAGCCAGAGATTGACTGGATGGCCCAATCAGTCAAGCGTCGACGTGGATTCGACGTGAGCGAGGTCTTCACACACCTCTTGGTGGCGCCAAGAGACTGGCCCCACGTTACAGTCGTCGACAAAACAGCAACGACACAAGCAGTGCACAGAGCGAGCAATGGCCCTCTCTGCATGGCTTGTGCTACGTTGTTGGACGAAGAGCCCTCGCGGTTTCGCGAGGTAGATGATGAGGTGGTTGAGCAGCGGCTCCCACAGTACAAGACGGTGGTTGAGCAGCGCCTCCCACAGCACAAGACGGTGGTCGAGCAGGGGCTCCCACAACACGAGATGATGGTCGA